GTCACTCATGCCTCCATTCACCCTCTCATTCCCTCTGTCATCTGTGCCCCAAGACGCTCTAAGGCCTTTTTGGCAACAGTTGCAAACACACAGAACCCAGGTCCCATAGGTTCCCCTAAGGGATCCAGGCCCACTCCACCCTGACAGAAGACATCTGAAGAATGGTTGGCATGTTGGGTCTGGGTCCAGGAAGCTGATTGGGCCTCCCCTGGCAGGAAGGGGTTGGGAAACACTTTCCCACCATCAAAACTGTGTGAGCAGAGTCCTGGACACAGGTAATCAGCTGCCTGAAATGTTTCCAGATGGCCAGGGTGGCCCAGGTGTTGGAGAGCGTTAAAACACTTATCCTTTCCTTATTTCCACAAACATCAAACTACTAGGTTAAGTGGCCTCTTCCCAACTCTTGGAAGGTCTGCCACCTGGGCACCAGGTATGGGGTTTAGAGTGTGTCTGGAAGAAGAGTTAGGGTGTTGAATGGAGGCATGAAGGACTTGACAGAGGGAGGGAATGAATGGAGAAAGGACTGATCGAGAGAATCGGGATGGGAGTGAATGGAGGGTTTGCCTAGTGGAAGAAATAACCCAGGCAAAGACCATTTTGAACATGGGGCTTAGTCTAAATAAAGTGGAAGAAAGAACTAGAGATTGACCTGGGGGCAGAGATTTGGGCCCAACAACAAGGCTTTGAATGCCAAGGCAAGGCATTTGGGTTCTTTCCCGTGGGCAATGGGGAAAGAAAGAAAAGGTTTTAAAGGTAAGAGATGGTAGCTCATATCAATAATTACCAACATTTATTGAGCACTTACTGTGTACCAGACATAACTCTGAGCACTTTACCTGAATCAACTCATTTATCCTCACTCAGCCCAGTGAGGGGAGTATTATTATTCCCATTCTTCAGATGAGGAAAACTGAGGCACAGAGGAGCTAAATTGCCCAGTATCTCCCAGCTAAAAAAAAATATATAGTATCCACTCAGTAAGAGTTTTTTTAATGTATTCTTGCCTTCCCTGAGCTTTTCCTCTTCATCCCCACCCCCACTAACGCACCAGGCCCACTGTTACCATGGTCGAAGGTCAGGGTGAGAAGAATGTGACCTTCTGGGGGAAACCGTCCGTACTGTGCGATGTGCTGCAGGGGCAGAAGGTGATGGTGGAGGAGAAACGGCCATGTCTACACGTGCCTCCCTGCAAAGAACCCTGAGGATGAGAATTATTACGTCTCTCTCTCTTCCACTCTGACCCCCTGACTTCTCAGACTTCAATAAACCAGCCTCTTCCCGAGGAGTGGGGCCATAGCATCTTCTAGGCCAAAGAGCGCAGCACAGGCAAAGTCGCAGTGGCCTGTGGTGGAAAATAGTATTTTCCACTGTGGCCATGGTGTGACAGAAGTGAAGGCGCGTATCCGAGTACCCATCCCTGCTGTAGCCTTGATGTCGGTCCCCTTCTCTGTCAGTGCCCCGGGGCACCCAGCACGTCCCTCTGCAGAGCTCTGATTACGAGCTTTCCGATTGGCTATATGCCCTATCAGGCACTTTCTGATTGGCTGGCATGCTTGTTTTTCTTCTCCTCCTCCTAAAGCTCCCTCGGCTGTCAGATTCCGCGTCAATCCGGCGAAGAGGCGTGGCTGGGGTTGGGGCCCCCGCAGAGCGAACATCTGCACCCACCCACTCCCAACAGCCCAGCTCCAACACCACAATTAGCGACGACAAATAGTTCCGCGAGGCGGAGGGGGGAGGGTACCGAGGAAGTGCCTACGAGGGGCTCTGAACTGGGACAGGAGCAAAGAGAAGCTATAGTCAGCATCTGCCAGGAGCCCCCAAGATACTCAGACACATTTCTTTAGCTTTCGTTCGTTTATTCAACACTTATTAGCATCTACTGTATACTAGAGCTAAGTCTAGGTTTCGGGTGAAGGAAGGCTGGTAGAGAGGACATCTGAGTGAGGGAACAGACCAGAATGGGAGATCCTTTCATTCAAACATTTAACATTTATCAACGCTTACTGAATACCAACAATAGCATTGGACATCATGGGAGATGGGGTAGAAGAGTCAGAGCGATACGTATTTCCCCAGTGAAGGGAAGAAGGATGTGTGCCTGATAGTGTTTTAAGACTTTCCATAGCATGAATTCATTTAACCCACAATGAACATGAGGTCAATATTATTATCTTCATTTTACCCAGGAGGGAACAGGCATAGACAGGTAATGGGCTAGACATTTGGGAAACACCATGCCAGGAGCAGAGTTTAGGAGTTTGTCCTGTGAGTGGAGGGGCGCCTCTGTGTGGGAGGCTTTAGATGGGAGATTTGTGACACTCAGAGTCTGTCAGGCTGCTCACTTCTCTGGGTCAATTTTCTCTTGTGTAAAATGGATCAGTTGATGGGTAGGGGTAAAGATGAGATCAATGCATATTAGTTATCGTAAGAGGAATGAGCCTAAGTGAGGGAGTCTCGTTGCTACTGCAGGGTATGAGAAAGTTATAGGTCTATAAGAAAGTGGAAATTTGGCTGTATGTGTATATTATGAGGCACATATCTTTGTGTATGTGTGATAGGAAGACCTATAGGGTCTGTGCAAGAATTAAGGATGTATTGAGTGTGTGTGGAGTGCATGTGAAGTTACAACTGTGCACCATAACAATGTGTGAGTTATAAGGGTGTGGGGGTATATGTGTGCACATGCTCATACACACATACACAGGTGGCATGGATATGTATTGTGAGTTATAAACATGGGTGCATGTGTGCTCAGTTGTGTCTGACTCTTTGGGACCCCTTGGACTATTGCCTGCCAGGCTCTTCTGTCCATGGGATTATCCTGGCAAGAATATTGGATTGGGTTGCCATTTCCTCCTCCAGGGGATCTTCCTGACCCAGGGATCAAACCTGTGTCTCCTGCAGCTCCTGCATTGGCAGGCGGATTGTTTACCACCAAACCACCTGGGAAGCCCATAAACATGGGTACAGTACTGATTATGAACATATGTCAAGGGTGTGTGTTTCAGAGTCATTGCTCACCAATGCACAACAAAGAAAAACATTCTTGGAGCCCCTTCTGTATGTTCCTTCCTACTGGAGAAGATGAAGCTAGTGCAGAGAAGGAGTTGAGACCTCTGCACAGGGAGTTGAGACACTCCTTGTGGGTGGGGGTGGGAAACTCTTCATTCTTCTACAAAAAATTAATTTCTGGAAAATGAGCCACCTGGAGAAAGGGGATGACACTGAGGGGCATGGTACTATAAACCTGGCAACGGGGCCACTGGGAAGAGGCAGTCTAGAGACAGGCTCCTAAGGAGCCTGACTTTTTACTCCTAGAGTAGCCAAAAAGGTCTGTAGACCTGCAACTGCTCCTGTCCCTCAGAGAGGGCGCCACAGACCCAGCAGAACTTGTTTGCTTCCATTACTGAGCAAAAACTGGGGAGCACATACTTCGCAATGTTGGGAAATACCCAATTTCTGTGCAGTTCCCCATCTGGGGAACACTGGAATATGGGATGCCAAAGGGCATCCATGAGAGAGAGAGAGAGAAGGAATGACCAAAGCAACAGCCTGCAGGTGGACTGAAGCCGGCTGGGATGGAGGAGGGAGCAGAGGCGATGGACAGTAGGAGCCTAAGGGGAGAGGGGACTTCCTGGAGATCTTGGCCAAAAGTGATCCTTGAGAGAGAAAGAAAGGACACTTCTGGCAGAAGTCACAGCACTCCCCCACCCCTATCTTTTAGAGTTGGTCAGGTAATTGTTTTTATAGTTGAGGAAGCCAAGTTTCAGAGATGTTAAGTCACTTTCCCAAGAGTATAGTGGAGGCCCAGTTTGAACCCAGGCACTCTGACTCCAGACCTCACACCATGACCTTGTTTGAACACGCCAAAGATTTGATAAATGGAGAATGTAGAAATGAATAAGTGGATGATTCATTTGAAAGTCCTTCAGGCAGAAAAGACTCCAAATCTGCCTAGGTCTCTGTGTGTCCGTGTGGTGCTTCTGTGTGTGTGTGTGTGTGTAGGCATATTCATGTGTATGTATGCATGTATGCCCATGAGTATTACCCTGGGCTTGTTTGTGTCAGTATAGATACTTAGATCGGTGTGTCCTCTGTACATGCCTCCATATGTTTCCCTACTTTTGTGTATTTCTATATGTATCTCCACGTACGTGTCATTCCCAGTGTGCCTCCAGGACGCCCCCAACCCTGGGCAAGGGTGTACACTCCACCCAAGTGTCCACCTCCGCCTGTCTGATGCTGTCTACACCACCCCTCATCCATCTCTCTGCCTAGCTAAGCCTATGTGGATGTGGGAAACTGATCTTGCAGAGTACTGCGTGTGACCCTCAACTCTCGCTGTGAAGGGGTTATTTCTCTACTTTTGAGTCTCCGAGTATAACTCCATTCCCACCCCCCAAATACCTCCTGTGGTGAATATCAACACTGGAAACCTAGTATCTGCAGAGGGTCCTAGGTGTGGGTGTGAATGCATGTGAAGACCAGGATGAGATAGGGTGGGAGGCTTGCCTGATGCACCCACCCGACCCTCCGGACAGGCTCCCACCCTGCCCCCATCCCCAAATTGCGCACCCCCAATTGGAGGCGGGGGAGGGGAGACAGGATGCGGCGTGGCGCTTGCGCACTTATGCCTTCAGCACCACGGACAGCTCCTTCGCCCCCGCCTGCCGGCGCGCGCCACCGCCGCCCCAGCACTGAAGGCGCGCTGACGTCACTCCCCGCTCCTCCGCAAACTCCCCTTCGTAGTCGCCTTGGTCGCGTCCGCGCCGCCGCCGGCCCAGCCGGGCTGCACCACACGGGGCGCGAAATAGGGGGTCACGGGCGCGACCAACCGCGCTGCGGCGGCGGCGGCGACTCAGCGCTGCCTCAGTCTGCAGCGGGCAGCGGAAGAGTCGTGTCGTGCCTGAGAGCGCAGCGGTGTTCCTGGGCCCCTCGCGGTCCGCCCCCGCGGCTCCTGACCAGACTGCTCCTAAGACCCCCTGCCCCGCGCTGCAGCCATGAACTACCTGCGGCGCCGCCTGTCGGACAGCAACTTCATGGCCAATCTGCCAAATGGGTACATGACAGACCTGCAGCGCCCGCAGCCGCCCCCACCGCCTCCCGCTGCCCCCAGTACCGGGGCCACGACCGGTCCTGCCACCGCCACTGCCGAGAGGGCCTCTTCGGCCGCCCCCGTGGCCTCTCCGGCTGCCCCTAGCCCTGGGTCCTCGGGGGGCGGTGGCTTCTTCTCGTCACTGTCCAATGCGGTCAAGCAGACCACGGCGGCGGCGGCCGCCACCTTCAGCGAGCAAGTGGGCGGCGGCTCTGGGGGTGCAGGCCGTGGGGGCGCCGCCGCCAGGGTGCTGCTGGTAATCGACGAGCCCCACACCGACTGGTAAGCCACTGCTGCGGACGTTCCCCCCGCCGTTCTGGGTCCCCAGAATGAGCAATTATTGAGCGCCGCTTGTTTGCCCTCTGTCTGCCCGCCTCACCCAAACCCTCTTCCTTTAAATTATTATGCGAAGTGCTTCTTGTGTGCCCGGCGCTTGCCTCCCCGCTGCCCTCACCCAAGCCTTCTTGATCCATACAGGGAGCAGTTATCAGGTGCCTGCTGTGTGCCTCCATCCCACAAACCTGACTTCAGTATATCCTGTGAGCATTCAAGAGTCTGATGTGCCCTGAACCCCGCAACCCGTGCCCCAAAGGTCTTGTCCTCTAATGGATCTTGTGAGCATTTATCAAGTACCGGCAGTGTGCCTCAGTGGGGAATCCTTCCTCAAGGCGTTTGGCTTACATGAATTTTGTGAACATTCGTTGGGAGCTTGATACGTGTTTTGTCCTCCTCAGTCCTTGCCCTAAGGCCTTCTCTGATCTCGTGAGCATGTATCCAGAGTGCACTATGTGCCCCACCCCAGCCCTCACCTCAAAAACCTTTTAAACTATTCACTGAACATTGATTGAATGCCTGCTGTGTATCCCACCCCAGCTTCTTGCCAAAAGCGTTGCCTTTAATGGATCCTGTGATTTTTTTATTGAATGCCTTCTGTGTGCCCCAATTCAGTCCCCCTAAGGGCTTATTTCTCCAAAGGATCTAAGAAGCATTTATTACGTGCCTGGTGTATGCCCCATCCCCAAGCCCTTTTCTCAAACATATGTTCCTTAAGTGAGTTCTGTGAGCATTTTTAAACCTACTGTGTGAGGCTTATCTTCACACTGCTCTAAATCCTTTTCCTACAGCAGACTGATCTAGAAGGCATTCATTTGAGTGCCTCCCTTACCGCCTATTCTCAACTACTTCTTCAACGATCTTTCCTTTGGTGGACCCAGCTAGCCTTTATCAACTGCCTGATCTAAAGGTGTGAGCCTTCTCTAAAGGCTCTTTCCTTCAGTGTATTCAGCAAGCATTTATTGAGTGCCCACTGTTTATGTCACCCCAAACCCTTTTCCTCCAGTGGCTTCAGTCTGTATATATTGAGCACCATCTGCATGACTCAACCTCAGATCTTGTCCATAAAGACCTTTGCCTCCAATTAATACAGTGATCATATATCTGCACTTACTGTGTGGAGCATTTCAATCTGTCTTTCCAAATACCTCTTTAAAAAATCACTCTTGGAGCCTTTGTGGAGTACCCACTGTGTGCCGATTCTGTGCCTTCTCCATAAAAGCCTTTCTTCCCAAGGATGGAGAATCAAGCTTACATAAATCAAGTTACTGTATCCCCATTTCCCTTCCCCCAAAGACTTTTCCTCCAATGGATCCAGTGATGATATGCTCTTCCATAGCCTCCCCCCCGACCCCATCTTCCCCAAAGACCTTTTCTTTTAACGGATGAAGTGAGCATTTGGTCATTGTCTGCCAGGTACTTGATTCTAGATCACCTTCCCCCAAAGGCATTTTCCTCCAGCGGCTCCTGTGAGCATTTGTGTAGTGCTTCCTGTGTGCTCTATATTCACACCTCCTCCCCAAAGTGCTTTTCTTCCAGTGGGTGCATGAGCACATTTGCAGTACCTGTTGTGTGTAGGAAGTAGATTCCCCTTCTTTACTCTTAGGATAACCTATGCCAGTCATACAATATCTCCACAGAGTCCTTTCCTTCGATAAATCTAGAACCAAATTTAGAAGGGTTACCCTTTTCTCACTCTCTTCAGTCTCCCTAGGATTCCCTCTCCCAATCTTAAGACCCCAAAAGGATTTTTTTTCTATTTAAGCCAATAAACACTTAACTGAGCAGTTACTACTTAAGAGCCATTCTCAACTTCCCCTTTCCAAGCTTGAAAGTTCCTGCCCTTGTCTCAAGAGCTGTCTCTCCAGGGGTCCCCTTCAGCCTAAATATATTGATTACCAGCTCTTTACTGGTTAATTACCTCTCCTCTGCCAGGAGCCCTTACCCAGCAGGCTTTCTCTCTATTCAGAGCCATTTATTCATTCTACAGATAGTTGTTGCATACTTTCCATGTGTTAAACTATGGGAGGCATTTATTATGCACTACAATACACTAGGAAGAAGCCTCCTTCAGTTCCTTTTCCTTCTAATCCTAACCACCTTGGGTTCTTCATACCTTCTCCACTCAACCCCAACAATCTTTTAATGAGCACTTATTCTATACTACTGAGAACCCATAGTCAGTGCCTTTTCTCCCCCTCCTGTAGCCCTAATTCCTCCTTCAACAATCTCCATCCTGCCTTTCACATGACACAATCTCAAAAACTCACGATGTGTACCTACTGCATTCTGGCTAGGAACCCTCTCCCACATAGTAGCCATCTTCCCCACTGCTCTTTCCCCCCCAATTAATACAAAAAGGATTTATCACTCTCTTACTGTGTTCTGTTCATTCAACAACATTCCCATCCCTACAGCAGACTCCTCCACTCTCTTCTCCTTCAATCCATAAAGCATTTATTGAACATGTGTTTTAATTCCTTCACCAACACCCACTCACACAGATGCCATCTTCCTGGCTAAATTTGCTCTATTGAAGTCAACAAACCTTATTGAAGTCCTTGCTGTACCTTGGGGGCTTCCCAGGTGGCGCTAGTGGTAAAGAATCTGCAGCCAATGCAGGAGACGCAAGAGAGGTGGTTCTGATCCCTGGTTTGGAAAGAGCCACTGGAATATTTTAGTAACCACCCTCCTTTCGACTTACCTTCTTCACTCTGACCCTCCAGGCAGGTCCTTTGCTGCTGCCTTTTCCTTCATTCCATTAAGCATTTATTAATTATCTACAGACCACTGTCAAGACCCTTCCCCTTTCCATAATCACAACTCCTGTGTTTTCCACTTTTTCTTCTAATTTGTCTAGCAAGCACTTACTGAGCACCTGCTGAATTCTGTGAACTATTCTTCCCTCCCACTTCTGTATCCCGAAAACCTTCCTTTATCCCAGCAGTCGCTTGAGTCTTTTCTTCCAGTCAACCTAGCAACTATTTATTTAGTGTCTGGTATAGATGGGGTGGGATGGGCAAAGGGAGGGAGCCTGTGTACATCAGGTTTGGTGCGAGAAACAGAGACTGCATCACCAACTTGCAGACATTCAGAACCACACAAGCTTAGGGATTTCAGCCTGGAATAAAAGGAATCGTGCAAACTCTGTAATGGGGTTGTACACCTAAGTACAGTCTGGTGCCTTCCCCACCAAACCTCACCACTCTCATTCCTTCCTGGGTCTTGAGTCCTGTGTGCTTTGAAGCTGCAAACTCAGAGTTGAGACTCATCACCTCTTTTTACAGATCATTTAGTCAAGTGTTTTTCCAGCTGTAGGTCACCTCTTGGCTTGTGACCAGTGTTTCATTTTCTTCATGAAATGAAAATAAAACTATGATAAATAATATTGATACATGAAAATAAAAAATGAGAGTACATTGCACATAGTAAATGGAATTATTATTTAGTGAAACTGTTACTCCAATAAGAAATATAATCAATAATGTGTACCATACATATTACATGTATTCTGTAATATATTTGTTATACAGCAGGTTTATAGTATCACATACATACATATGTATATGTTTCTTTTCATGAAATGAAATAGAATAGGAAATATGACCCCATTGTACATATTAAAGGTAATTATTTACTGAAACTTTCATTCTACTATATGCATATTTATATACATTCTAGATACTGCAACACATAATACATAACATGCAATATGTTATATAAGACATCCTATATTAAATTTTCTGTATATGTGTCTTATATAATATATATTAAATATATCTGCTAAGTCACTTCAGTCATGTCTGACTCTGTGCGACCCCATAGACAGCAGCCCACCAGGCTTCCCCATCCCTGGGATTCTCCAGGCAAGAACACTGGAGTGGGTTGCCATTTCCTTCTCCAGTGCATGAAAGTGAAAAGTGAAAGTGAAGTCACTCAGTCGTGTCCAACTTTTAGCGACCCCATGGACCGCAGCCTACCAGGCTCCTCCGTCCATGGGATTTTCCAGGCAAGAGCATATATAGAACGTTCTTATTGTGGCTTCTTTTCTTAGACTTCCCTGGATGCAGACCCTGAGACTCTGAGATTTGTGTGCAGATTGATCAGGGAGAGCTCTTGGGAACAACGCGTGTTGCAGAGGAGGAGTGGGGGAAGCAGGACTTGGCAGATGGAAAGGTTAAGCAGCTGTGATGCTGTGCAACAATTGCTCCAGCCGATCACCTGGGGAGCTCTGGAGCTGGGATGACCCTTCAGAGTTGTCCCAATTGAGATGGGGTGGCCAGGCTTTTCTAGTCCTGCATTAGTCAGTCAGTGACTGCAAGTTGCCCTCTGGGAGGAGGCATAATTTTGCAGAAGGTGAGTCCCTGCTGTAGGGGGCAATTCCCAGTGATGGACAGCACTGTGAGCCCTCAGCAGCAGATATTCCCAGAAGCTGGAGGACAGTTATGACAAGAAGGAGGGGCTTTAAGATCTGAGTAGAGCACATAGGCAACCCCCAGGACTTCTCAGATTGACTTGCTTTTCAGAAGTAAGTTCATTCCATCTGGGAACAGTGTTTCTAGGATTCTAATTGGTCTTGTTTTCTGGGGGGCACTTGAAAGAGCACAGTTACTGGGACAAACTACAGCCTCCACTGTAGTTTGATAAATGTGGCATAAATAAATGATACATTGTTTCCTTCCTGTACTATACACTCTAGATTCCCCTCACCCTCGGCTTGGTCACAGTGGCTTACCTGGTGAGTGATCCATTCCCTTATCCTTAAGGGATCCCTGAGCCCTGGTCCCCATCTGCTCAGGCTATGACTGCTGTACTTATCCATTTGCCTTCAATGTTGAACAAGAAATGCCAACAAGATGTCAAAGCAGATAGCCTTGGGGCCAAATATATTCCTCCCTGCCCCCATTGTTTAATGGCAGCCCTATCTACTCCTGGGCGTCCCTGGTGGC